TATATATATTCCTTTCTTATTGTTGTGATCAAGCATATCATGATAATTTATCGATCCGCTCTTTGGTTTCTTTTTTTGTCCTCATTTTCCATGGCTTTCACCATATTTTCATCATTTGATGAATTTTACTGATCAGTTTTGGCTGAGTTGTGCTAAACGACTAATATAAGTAATCTGATCAGTTTAAGGTTAGGTTGCTCATTAGTATATGTTAATAACATTGTAAAGATTCTTGCCCTAATGAATTGCACATCACAGCTGGTATGTTGATCCAGATCATTCTCTACTTTAACACTTGGCAGTTTCCTCAGACTGCTTTCCACTCTGGGTCTTCATTTTTAAGTCTGTCTCTCTCTCTCTCTGTGTGTGGTAAATGCGGGCTTTGGATATACATGGATTTGGAGTTTTGGGCAGGTTTTATGTAATGCATCAATGGCTTGAAGTTTGCTTATCTGGCATCCTATGTACTTTGCAGATAAATACAATTGTGAGGTTGGAGGTGCTTGTGTTTCTAACTACAGCTTGGTAGAGGGAGAGAGCATCTACCATGAAGGCGCTTATACTCGTTGGAGGGTTCGGGACTCGCCTGCGACCATTAACACTCAGTCTTCCGAAGCCACTTGTGGACTTTGCCAATAAACCCATGATTTTGCATCAGGTACTTGATTCATGGCTCGGAATTTTCATTGAATTTCAGCTTCAATTATACTCGAGTTTCAAAACTGGAAAGTGAATCTTTTTTATGAGTGGCCCCTGATAGTAGAACTGGGAATTTAGAGCCATTATTTTAATGAATGTCCAAGAGTTTTGTGAGGGTTGCTGAGAATCTCCTAGAGCCACCAATATAGGTAGATTGGCACCGAAGGCCTTGTTATCATAAAGATTGATATATGATAGGCACTGTGATGAGAGCCAGCAAAGTTCGTGGTCTAAATTGGAAGAGAACTTTTCCCTTTATTTGAGTGGTTGCTTGAAAGAGAAATTCCTTTCCTTTGAAAGGGAAATTTGGTCTGTTTTTTTCCTCGTAGGCCCATGTTGATAAATTGTCAACGTCAAAGCTTTTTTCCAACTAATTTGTATTGGCTCCACGTGGATCACTCACAATATTAATTATTTTGGAAGGAGAGATATTTTGTGTTAGGCATCAAAGTTTTCCTTTATTGGATTGGTTGATTGAAGACAAATTTTTTCTCTTTTCAAAGAGAAATGTGTGCTATTTTTTGTGTAAGTTCTGCAGTTGTCCCAATTACGACTCAATGAAAGAGAGAGAGAGATTTTCGTATTATCTAAGAATTGACGTGAAATTTTTTGTGTATTTTTTGTTGATTATATTATATTAGATCGAAGCTCTGAAAGCTATTGGGGTGACAGAGGTTGTTCTGGCCATCAATTATCAACCTGAGGTACGTAAAGAAATCCGTCTTTTGCTATTTCTCTTTAATCTTCTCTTTTTTTTGTTTTTTTGGGTGCAATTGTAGCTCTCTTTAAATCTTCTCTTCTCCATATGACAAAAGTCTAAGAGAAGTAATCATTTTTTTGAAATCATTGAAGTTACCTTGATAGTTATACCATATATCAGATCTCAAGGAAATAAGTGTTCTAGGCAATCTATCAACGTATAAATCATGACCACGTAAGATGTGCTCCCTAGCATACTTATACTCCCTCGGTCAGAAGACCCACTTTGGAGGATTTTTTTCAATTTTAAAGTACCACCTAAGAATCACTAGATAATTATTCTGGAAAAAAAAAAAAATGAAATTTGAGTTTTCTAATGTTAGATCTCACCATCTAAAAATTGGATAGTTTTTATTCAATATCAAAAAAAAATTTTATCAAGTGCATAGATGATGCTATTAGCAAATTTATTTTATTGAAGTTAATCTATATATTGAGGAGGTTATATCCCAAAATTTTGAGTACTACACTTATTTCTAAGGGGGGAGATTTTACCCGGGGACTAAATGAACATAATACTGCTTGAGTAATGTCTTTAGCCAAATCTATTTTCCCGATCCATCTCTTTCAAAAACCAATTAGTGGTGGCAACTGGTCAGGGTTTGGGTCTAAAAAAAATTATTGGATCTAAACTCGGGCCTAAAAAAAAATTATGGGACCCGGATTTGGATCCGAAGTTATCGGACCTAGACCCAAACCCGACTGGACCAGGACCCAATCCGGTTGTCAGGTCTGGGGTGAAGTCCGGGTCCGGATCCGGGTCCAATTCCCACCCCCACCAACTTATCAATCTGTCTCTGTCAACTACAAATGCAGATGCCCTCTCTCTTTCGTCAAATGAGAATCCAAATTCTCTCTCATCTGTCGGTGAATAGGACAAAGTAGGAAAACATCGTATTGTGTGCCGGCTCACTTTTTGTGGGTTGGGTTATGGCGTTGCAGGTGATGCTAAATTTCTTGAAGGATTTCGAGGCGAAGCTGGGGATAAAGATAACATGCTCTCAAGAGAAGGAGCCTCTGGGCACCGCTGGCCCACTTGCGCTGGCAAGAGACGAGCTGATTGATGAATCAGGGGAGCCCTTCTTTGTCCTCAACAGTGATGTTATAAGCGAGTTCCCCCTAAAGAAAATGCTCGATTTTCACAAGGCACATGGCAAAGAAGCCTCCATTATGGTAACCAAGGTACTGGACCTTTTTACTTTATATTTTTCTATCGCTTTCTTCTAGGTCCCGGAGTCCTTCAAAATTTTGGTCATTTTTTTAAGTTTCTGCATAAGAATAAAGTGAATAGAAATTTTTTGGTAATTCTGTTGTTGTTTTCCAGAGGCATCCTTAGCGTCATTGTAATTTCTTATTATTTAATACAATATCCTAGTTAAATATGTAAAAAAGAATTTTTTAGGAAAAATTACTAAAACCCCTTGACTCAACTTTCTTAAGATCGTCGCCAAACCACTTTTTAAAACTCTATTTTGTTTTGTACTTTCCCTTGTAAAAAGGTCAAAAAATTTATGGCTAGAATACCCCTCTCTCTCTCTCCCGAACTGGATTAAGGAGCTGATGCTGGAGCGGCATTGTGAAATCAATGTGCCGGACTGGTCCGGCACATTTTTGTTGTTGGATCGGACTCATTTTTTGGACCTGTTGCCGGACTAGCACTATGAAATCGATGTGTCAAACCGATCCGACACATTTTGTGTCAATCCAGTACATTTTTTTGTCGGACTAATACGGATTCATTTTTTGGTCGTGCACAAAAAAAAAAACAACAAAAAAAAAGAGGAGTTATAAACATGGGTCAAATGGGGATATTTTGATCCAAAAAAATATTTTTTTGTAACTTTGGAGGCAGTTGTAAAAGAATATAATACTGGGATATTTTTTAGGGGCAAATTTTTTGTGCTTCCCCTATAACATAGAAGTTCTATCTTCTCCCTTATCCAATTGTCCATTCTGAAATGGAGAGCTAAGATTGCCCCAATCACAAGGTCACGTATTTACACTATTTTATTTTTAATTTTTTTTTATAAATTATTTTGACACCAAATTTTGGATGTCTATTCTTCTATTAAACTCGCACTAGCAAAAAATGTAAAAAAAAATATTTTCAATAAAATAAAATGACCAAAATACCCCTGAAAGTTTCAAAGGGTATTTTGGTCATTATATTTAATCAAAAAATTATTTTTAATATTTTTATAGGTGCACCCTAATGAAAAGATGACACATACCAAATTTTATATTCATATAATTTGTATAAAAAACTAAAAATAAAATATTTTGAGACGTCGGATCTAAGATCAAACGGTGAGTAGCTCTCTTTATCAAAATTTGGCAGCTAGATGGTAGGGGGAGGATAGAATTTCTATGCTGTAGGGCAAGCATAGAAACTTTTCCCTTTTTTTACTGTTTTAAAAAGTTTTTTGGGGGATGTTAAGAGTGTTAAGGGGGCTTTTACTAATTGAAAATTGTTTACTGCGGGTTGGACAGCATGACCACATATGTGGTCCAAAAAGTGTAAAGCATCCATCTTAAAGATGGGTGCAAGTAGTTGTCCCATCTAAAAACAATAGAGACTAACCGTCCAAATGTTTTCTTATTACAATAATTATTTTTAATTTTTAAAATTTACTTATTTTTTCATATTCATGATCTCCATCAAAAATTTACTTTTTTTTTTTCATATTCATGATCTCCATCTTAGAGATTACATGTCTTTAAAAATTAAGTCTAAAAATCATCTCAAAAATAGATTTATTAATAGGCTTGGCCACATAAAAACCAGATCCATGCTGAATAGAGGACTAAGATTGCCCCAATCACAATATCATATCTTTATACTGTTTTATTTTAATTTTTTTTTACAAACTATTTTAATACCAAATTTAGTAAAACTAATTCTCTATTAAACTCGCACTAACGAAAAATATTTTCAATAAAATAAAATGACCAAAATACCTTGAAAGTTTCAAGGGGTATTTTGGTCATTATATTTTATTGAAAAATTATTTTTAATATTTTTTTATAAGTGCGCCCCAATGAGAAGATGGCACGTATCAAATTTCATATTCATACAATTTGTATAAAAAAAAACAAAAAATAAAATACTTTGAGACGTCGGATCTAAGATCAAACGGTGAGTGGCCTCTTGATCAAAATTGAACGGCTGGATGGTAGGAGAAGTTGTATGTTGTAGGGGAAGTATAGAAACCTTTCCCAATAAAAAAAAGGCGTTGTTGTGACAAATGTTTAAAAACATAGTTTGCACATGATTTGAGGGGCTCCCGAAATTGAGTCAGACTCAGCGAAGTTTGTACAAGTTATGGTACTAAGATATGGGAACTAGCCTAGTGTGGCCATTCCTGCAGCACCTTGTTGCATCCGAGTAGACTCAGCCGATTTTTTAAACACTGGTTCATACTAAATTGCATGCATAAAAAATATGAGAAAGGTGGAAAAGATGCTCTTGATAAAATCAATCGCACAAGAGTTGTTGTGTATATAGGTGGACGAGCCCTCAAAATATGGGGTGGTGGTGATGAATGAGAAGACAGGCCAAGTCGAACGCTTCGTTGAAAAACCCAAGATTTTTGTCGGAAACAAAATCAACGCCGGCATCTATCTCCTTAACCCCTCTGTTCTGGACCGGATCCCTCTCAAGCCCACCTCTATAGAGAAACAAATCTTTCCCCAAATTGCCCTCGACAAGGAGCTCTATGCCATGGTTCTCCCGGGCTTTTGGATGGACATTGGCCAGCCCAGAGACTACCTCTCAGGTAAGAATCACCGCAACGACAAGTGTGTGCTATGATCCATACGACCATCGGAAAGTTATGGTTGTCGGTGTCATCACCGTACAATGGATGGATGGACAGTGATGAGAGATTGGGAGCCCTTGGACAACAGATGAGCCAAGCCAGGGATACTCCTATTATCTCTCAATAACAGTCCATTCATTGATTGGTTGGCGGCTGTATGGCACTTAAAAATGGCTTGTCTACGATCATATGGATCGTAAAAAACTTTTTCATGGAAAATTATGATTGGTATATGCCCTCATAAGGAGTATGATATACATAAGATACATTTACTCTCTCAGGTAGAGAGTAAATAGCTAGTAAATTTGAAGACCCCAAATTATGGGATGTAACCTCAAACTAGGAACTATAAGAAAAAATTGGGAATTTATCAAATAGCAATTGTTTCATGCGGGTTGGACCGCATTTCTACAATATGCGGTTCAGAGGTATAAAGCCTCCATCTTAAAGATGGATGCAAATAGGTGGTCCATCTAAAAACAATGGTAGCTAACGGTTCAAATGTTTTTTTAATGTAATTATCATTTCGAGTTTTCAAAAAGTTTTGTTTTTTTCATATTCATGATCCATAATTTAAAGATTATATATTCTCAAAAAATTAGTATCCAATTATATTTAAGATATATATTTATTGCCAAGCCTGCATTTCTACAATATGCTGATTGGCTGCATGCTAACCGCCTCCTTTATCAAATTATACTGGAGAGATGAATTATTCAATGTTTTACTAATATCATTTTTATTTAATTTCAAAAAGTGCATCAAAACACTCATGATCATGAGTTCGAAAAGGTGAAAATGGGTACGACGTTGAGTAGATGATACGATCAGGTGTATTTATATACCCTTTGTATATACTTGAAGAAATTAGTGTGAAAAGACTAATGCATTATGATTGAACGAAGAGAATCTAAGTTTTGGATCACCATATATAAGCATAGAGAAACTCAATTTATTTTTTTTTGGTTTTTGAAATGCTCATTTGTTGATTCTAAAGCGATCCCTCCTGAAATTCTAGGCAAAGAAAATCATCCCTAGTAATTCTTTTGTCTAAGCGAATAAGTGCATGGTGTCTGAGGGAGTACATGTACAGATTACTCCTGGCTGAATACACTATAGCGCTCTTTGCCTAAATTTTTTTTTCTAAAATATATAGGTTAGTTTTGTTATATTGGAGGTTCCTATTTGCACCCAAATTTTTATTAATGCACCCATGTAGTTGATGGATATTCTAGCTTTTTTTGTAGCTCTTTAGGTGGGAATACCAAAAGAATTTGGTGAAAATACAGACCCTCAACTAATCCCAAATATTTCTAATTGCATTGTAACGAAAATGAATACATTACAGCAACTGCCGTTAAGACATCGCCCTACCCTTTGTAAGTCCGTTATGACTGTTTTTTAAACTAACATTCAGAAGAGGACAACTGATTTTTAAGCCATTTTTACAGGCCTGAGGCTCTACTTAAACTCTCTCCGCAACGTTGGCTCCCCGAAGCTCGCATGCGGGGTCCACATAGTGGGCAATGTGCTAATTGACGAGAACGCCCAGATAGGCGAGGGCTGCCTCATTGGCCCCGATGTGGCGGTGGGCCCCGGCTGCGTGGTTGAGAGTGGAGTCAGGCTATCGAGGTGTACGGTCATGAGGGGAGCACGTGTGAAGAGGCATGCTTGTGTGACAGGGAGTATCGTGGGCTGGCACTCCACTGTGGGGCAGTGGGCTAGGGTTGAGAACATGACAATTTTGGGGGAAGACGTGCACGTGGGGGATGAAGTTTACAGTAATGGTGGGGTGGTGTTGCCACACAAGGAGATCAAGACTAATATCAACAAGCCTGAGATTGTTATGTGACCTTTTATATGTGTGTTTCTTTCTTCTTTTTTATGCTTTTTTAATTTTTTTAAAAATTTTTTTATTTTATTTTAATGTTTTAAGCTAGGTATGTGCTTAATTGTTTGTTCTTTGTAGGGTTCTTGAGTTGGTGATTTGGGCTGTGCTAGAAATTTCTCAACTCGTGGTTGTAGGTCTGGTTTATTTTAGTTTTCTTTAGAGGTAATTTATTTGTTGGTTTGTATGTGTTTAATGTATTTATTTGTTGATTTGTATTTGTTTTTTGGGGTTGCAAGCTTTTGTTTTGTATAGGTGGTACTCTTATATTGTGGGGAGGAAGGAAATGAATAAATTGTTTGTAAATGTCTTCTGGCGGATGATGTATAATCCAATGATTGAAAATTGCCTATCTGTTCAAAAATTGCCCAAGTCGGTTCTGGATTGTTGTCACATGATTTTGGTTTCACGAATTATGTGGTCATCTTGATTTTCCAATGTTTCGCGTTTATTGTACTTTGTTTGTTAAACAAAGATTGTGTTGAAAATAACCCAAGTCGCACAGGCCGAATCAGGAAGAGACCTTGTCAAGTTGGTGATCCATTCTGATTTCTTAAAGAATGCTTATCTGTTGCTTTTATCTGTTCTCATCAAGTTGGCGATCGATTCCAATGTCTTTATGAAACACTGCTTTCATCTGTTGTCATGCTCGTGTTTGGCGTCGACCGAAAGTTCTCTCTCTGAATAATGTTTTGGTTAAGGACTGTATACACAAAGGTAAACAATCTCGTCGGATAATTTCTTATTAAAATGTATGGAAATTTGATCGAAGTGACAAAAGAAACAATCTTGGATTTGCACATGTAACTGTACTTAATAATATTTTCAGTAAAACAAAGTGGATTATTTGGGATCCATGGCCATTGATTTGCACATGCACCCAGCCTAAAACCTCTTAGGATTCTTTGAGGTCCATCCCACGATCATGCTTTAGCAGACAACCTAGTTAGGTTTGGTATCAGAGATTAGGATTACCCAGGGAAACTAGGGCTTAATTCAAGGTTTATAAAACCCAAGTGAAGTGTAAGGAACCTCTTTAACAGCGAAGCACTTTTAAAAAAAAAAACCACTCAGGTTTGATCAATCACCATTTCAACTGATTTTGAATATTTACCAATTCTCAAAATAAAAAGACATTTCTAAATCCAAAAGTTGGCCGAAAACAGGGTACACTTTAATTGTTCAGCCTAGTGATTTAAAAACCAGCAATCCATATATGCTGTTCTGTTCGCAGGTGATTTCAACCCATTGACCCCTCTCGGATACTGTCGAGCCCAATATTTTCAACCCATTATGTTAGGATCCGTGAATAAGTCCTAGCTGGTTAGGGAACTTTTAGGAATGATTTGTTAGTTTAACGTATTGTCAGATTTTTTATCTTGTTAGTTTGACTTATCATCTTTGATTAGGTTGTTATTCTCTATGTTTTAAATTATTGGTGAATAATAAAGGAATGTGTGTGGATTTTATGTTAAATTCATCAATGCATTGTACACACTAGGTGCATGTTCTTGCTCACTGAGTGAAGACTTTATCAGATACTATCAGAGCCAGCATCCCGGATATGCCCAAAGCTGGCCAAAAGGTTCAGAACACGCATGGGATGGAAGAAAAAATGGCTAAGTTCGAAGGAGAAGTGCACCAATACTCTGGCGTGCTATAGGAGATAAGTAAGACCCTTACTATGAGCCTCCAATATAAGCAACTAGCACCTTCAATGTAAAAGATGCAACAGAGTGGTCAAGCAAACGAAGCGAGAGGACCAAGACAGATGAGCCAAATGGAGGGATGTTTCACATCGGCGAGGGTAGAACCCCAATCTAAACCTAATACACCCGTTTAGATTTTCCAAAGTTTAATGGTGATGATCCAGCCGAGTGGATCTACCGTGTGGAGCTTCATATTCCAGAATGTGACAGACAACATAAAGTTCCATTGGTGCCCTTCCACGTGGAAGGAGACACAGTTCAATAGTACAAGTGGTATGAAAAGCCACAAGCAATACTGACATGGATGGATCTTGTTAAAGTTCTCTACTTCCATTTTGGTCGAACAGAATATGGAGATTTATATGCGGCCCTTTCTAAATTACAATAACGGAGGAGCATTTCAGGAATATCAAACCCATTTTGAATGGTTGGCAATCAGGTGGATGAGTGGACAGAAAACATTTTGATCGGCTACTTTATCGGGGGACCTAAAGGAAGAATTGAGATCGAGGTGTATATGTTCCAGCCCACAACCTTAATGGCCACTATCGGCTTCACACATCTGCAAGAAGAAAAACTACAACACCTTAGCCTCAAGAAAAAATACGAATATAACTGGTGGAAGGCCACCATACCCGTAGTGACAGCTTCTAAGATGGGAACCCCTACGATTGAGAAACTCACTTGGGCCAAGAGGAAGAAGCATAGAGACAGAGACCCCTGTCATAATTGTGACAAAAAGTGTTCTTCGGGCCACATGTGTAAGTCTCAGCAACTGTTTACGCTGGATGGCGACGTCAACTGGGAGGCAGATGATCATGTGAGGTAAGGAGTGAGTGCTTCCTAAGTTTCCAAACTTGAGAACAAGGTTGATTTGAAAAAGGGAGTTGACTGTTAGGATCTGTGAATGAGTTCCAACTGGTTAGGGGACTCGTAGGATTGTTTTATTAATTTAACTTAGTGTATGATTCTTATTTTGTTACTTTGACTTATTCTTTGATGAGTTTGTAATTTTGTATTATCATAAGATTACGTGATCCGGTAAGGATGGGCTTTTTCACTATTTAGAAGTGCATTATTCCACTTTTGACGTTCATTTCCCTACTTAAACAATTTTGGGATTTTATTTAGGATTAAAAGTCAAATATGGGATTTCCTCCTTGCCAAAATTGCATTCTAAGGTCACATCCCAAAAATAAAAAAATCTGCATATTATATGGGATTGATATTGATATTGATAAGTTTCATAAGTTAATTAGGACATTTATTGAAGTCCAACTAAATTAAGATTCTGGGTTATATCCTAAGTTTGAGGTATCTATCGAAAGCTTTATATTTTTATTTGGTATTAATTATATATATATATATATATATAGGAAAAGTCTTCCCATTGCCTACATGCGAAATGAACTGTGATTTCGCCTACCATCATCACTATCCAAAGTTCATCGCATGGTCACGATTGTCCGGTAGTATTTTATTTTTCATTTTTTTTTCTACAAATCGGAATGATCTGAAATTTGGTGCGTGTGTATATCTTAGTAAGGTGCACCTAATAAGAATGTCCAAAAAATAATTCGAGAAAAACAAATTGACCAAAATACCTCTAAAACGTTTGGAGGGTATTTTGGTCAATTATTTCATGTATAATATTTTTTTGATATTTTTCGTAGATTCGTCTATTTTTTATGAACATACGCTCCAAATTTTATATCATTCCGATATGTAAAAATAAAATAAAAAATAAAACACTATCGGACAATCGTAACCATGCGATGAACTTTGGACGGTGATAAGGATAAGTGAAATCAATGTTCATTTTTTC